TAGGCTTGACCTTTTAGCTGGTCGCTTACGACAGGTTGAACTGTATCAGGATCTCGTTTTTGTCCAGAAAATTCTTATAAACCATTTCATACGTGCCTTCGTTAATCATTCTCCCTTCCTGATGAGTTCCTGTTCCTGCAGTTGTTATTCGAGTACTGTTCTAGACAAGTTTCTCTAAGTCAACTTCATGTAAGGCAGGACAAAAGTCTTGCATACCCTATACTAATCAATTATAATTCTTGATTGAACGTTATTTTTTTGCTAGCTTTATACCTTTCCGTGATTCCAAGCTAACAAGGATCTTACAGTCATCTCTCGGAGGGAATGCTAAAACTTCGATGATATGTACAATTACACCTGCAGCCATTGAAGAATCAATCAGCACGTTAAAGGTAAAAGTTACTAGCGTGTTCATGAATACTCCCAGATTGCTGTTTTAAAACTGGAGTTAACAGGGGTTCACTTTGATTTGCAAAGTCTGAAAGTATTGGCCCATTCTTTATTCTCCGGCGTACAGATGTCTCAATCTTTGAAAGAACATTTGCACTTCTGCGCTCATATTACACATGCAAAAGCAACATTTGGATTAAACTCAAAGGGAGATAAGTTCAAAGTTTTACCGCCAATGCTTGTCCATTCTCGTGAAATTTGCACTTGGACAAATTACTGGTATTTTGATATCTTTTCTACTCACTTGTTAGCAATCGATCGGACTGTAAAATTTTGTTTCTTTCCTCTGTTTTTGTTTTTGTTCTTGCTGTTTGTTTGTTTGGTTCTGTCAGTATGTAATTTGAGCGTTCATATACCCCTTCCTTGCAGTTTGCTAGCCAGGCCAAAAAAATCAAGACCTGCCCAGAAATTAACGAGGTAAACTGTACATTTTTATCGTATCGTATCACACAAAAAATGAAATGCATTCAATTTGTGTGTACTATTGGCTTCAGTTAGTGCATTAACGTCTGTGAGTTTGAGCCAAACCGATAAGTGTATGAATATGATGACTTTAATATGTAGACTGTCGGAAAAAAAATTAACAAGACTTTCTGTTGCTTTATATAGCTATATGCATGTTATTTTAATTTTGCACCCTAGGTACTTGATGATGGAACTTTATTGAAACGTTACCGAAAGGAAATAAGTGAACTAAAGAAACAACTGGTCGAGGTAAGTGTAAAGCTGGCTTGAACGTATTCTTACTTTTCGACTTTTGAAGCAGAAGCTGATAATTCTATTAACAACGGAGGACGTCTGTTCCCATGGAAAAGGAGATTCTAGCCTGCGTAGCAAGCTTTCTTGTATGAAGAGCTTTTCCGGATTCTGACCGGGCGCAAATTGGAGCAAGAGCGAAAAAAAATTATCCATGCCCCACCACCCTCTTATTCGTCGACTTTTTGGCTCTCACTCCAATCCGGGAGAAGCCCTTTGTAAAAGAAGCAGAGAATGCTTGCTACACAGGAGAGGGACATTCAGGAAGAGGTAGCGCTTACAGAAACCAGTCCATGGCAGTTTTGTAGGCAGCGAGGCCGAGTGGTTAGGGCGCCGGACTTGAAATCCGGAGGTCGTGGGTTCAAGTCCCTCTCTAACCACTTAGCTGGAGTTGTTTCTCGGTAGAACCTCGTTCATGTTCTCGGTCATGCTTATAAATAGCCAACTGATCTGCCACCTAGCAGTTGAGA